AAAAAAAATAAGAAAAAATAGAATATGAAGTAATAAAAGTTATCCAGAATGACATACCATTGAGGTAATAGTCCGTGCTTTCTGACAATTCTTCCGGGTGCTGTTATTACAAAGACAAGATAGCAGGCAGAAATGATCCAAATATGGGCAGTATGGTTGGCCATCCATTTTTGAACGCTTTCGGCTGGGAACGCGTTATACATACTACCACCACACGTTGAGTTAGTGAAAACAATGGACTAGAGTCGTCTAGGAATTCTCGGTAATCTTCGTAATTTTTGATAGTTGTTGATACGGCTATGTACTGCTTCTGCTCTACATTTCTAGATGTATGACACGAGATATAATACTTCATATAATTAGTGATGTTAGTCTGTGATGCGAACTATAGATCGACGAGTTGATGTGCTCTTTTCCTCAGGTACCGGATCGTCAATAAGGGAAAATTTGACAAATTAGAAATATCTTAGGACTTGAAATCCTGTGGGAATCTCACGTAGGGTGGTCTAGCGAGATAATTGCAGTGAACAAGAACAACAAGTCAAAGCCAATGAATTTTTGGATGTCTAGGATACGCTTCTGATTCTGACTTTCATTGGGAATCAAAGAAAGAGTGAAGGGGTTCTGCAATGCGTAGGTGGCCTAAAAGTGACTTATGTACCGTGGTCACTCAATGTACAAGCCATTGTTTACCTCATCGACAAGTCTGTTTCCTACATATTAGTCGAACCCAGAGGGTTTTTATATTTATAATAGTTGACCCGGGCTGGTGCCAGACTATGATCCGATCCACGAACTATGCCTGTGAAAGTCACTTAGCCACTTAGCACCACACTACCTCCACCCTCCACGACCATATCATTTTATCCATTTATCTGACTCACCAATATAGGCAAAATGTGCATGGAAATCCATTGAATCGGAATAATTTATCTTTATTCTTTACATTTCTCCCGCCTTCCTCCTCCTAAAAGTGTTCAAACACCTGCAAAGGGTGTAGACATTTCAGGAGCAATAGATGATCTGGATCACTAGCATCATAAATAGGAAAACAGTGCAGGTTGAAAGCTCTTCCACAAAGCTGAAATTTGATTCTCTTGTGGTTTCACTATTTCGATATGCTGCAGGAAATTCCTGCTGAAGGAAATTCCTCTGCGTTTATTTTTTTTTTCATAATTTCTGTAGAAGGAAGATGGGCAAACCCCGCAGATGACTTCTAAGGCGAGGGGTGGGGCAAAAGTCTCAGAAGACATTTTTTCAACGCTCCATTCTATGAAGCAATGGCGGACGAGAATTCGTACTAATAACAAGTCATAGTTCGGTCAAGTTTGATTTTGTAGAATCTGTTCTCAGTGCCCTTACCAGTTAGTAGTTTCTGAGCTGTATTGAAACAAATGTATAATTTTCAATGACTTGATTATTTGATTTGCGCTCAAATGATACCGTGACAATGGTAAAACCCCAGCTCTATAGTCCATATATCGAACCATCAACTACAAATGAGCTTTTTTCTTCTCAGGTCTCCTAGTATACTGCTACTGATATTGTTGGCTTCCATTAATGATGAAATACGCGTTTGATACCTGTATCGCAGAATGCTTAATAATCTCAAATAAAGGTCGAATATACGGCTCACATCGAAGTTCTTGTGATCTCTTAATCACATGCGATTTCATGCTTTGCTTACTCAGGAGTTACCTTAGCTGTTTCCTATTTGGAGTGACGAATCGCGCTGATACTCTCTCATAAGGCGAAAATATTACAAAAACTGGGGCCTTCATTTATAATTTACTATTTGACTAAGACTCCTAGATTCAGTGCTGGTGTTTCATATTTATAGTCTTGCGGTGAATGGCTAAGATGATAGTAATGGGAGGGTAGGCATGTCGGGAATGAATCTTGTACTAGTCGAAGTTTGAGGTGTTGGATCTTAAGTCCCAAATCGAAAAAATAAATAAACAAATAAAAGTAGAAACGAATTCGAATGAATTTTCATTGTAGTCCAAAGGGTGGCGGCACCTCTCCTTGAACTCCCATGGCCGGTAGCAGTGGTTCCGCGTGGGCTACAGTATCCTTGCACGGAGGGTTCAAACTTTTCTTGCCACAGCACGCGACTGCGCGCAATTGGTTATGGCTAGAGCGACGCAATTTTCAGGAATAAGGTACCACACCCGGTTGCATGAGCCCATGTGGAGATAGGATGCACGTGGTGATTTGCGTGGCAGAATAGTGGCGATTTGAAGATTTTGGTGCTCGTCATAGAGGATAATGCATCCCCACAGAGAAGGGCCAAGCTCAAAGTTGGAGCTGCTCATAAGCACATCGATATAAGGGAATCATGTGAAAGTTTATTCGTCGCAAAATTTGCAGCGTGCACTCCAAACAGGCAAATATTCCGTCCCTAAACCGAAAGAAATGTGACGAGTGAACGTCGAGGGTCTCGTTCTTTTACATGCCCCGTAAATTTGCGGCAATGCAAGTGAATGCGCCATAAATACACCTGTCGACTTTATATCACGTCATAAATATTGCATGTGTTGGCGTTAATATGCAATGTGTCGCAGGAGACCTAGCAATGACCACCTGGCAAAGCGATTGTGTTAGTAAATAATCATTCTAATCGCCAAGACAACAAGTCAAACTACCGTAACTGATTACGTACCACTGAGAATTGCGAAAGATTTCATACTTATTTTCAGAAGAAAAACAAAGAATTTTTGTAAAAATATCAGCATGCCATGTGACGGGAAGGTTTTTCAAGCATGGAAAAGGTTTTCATTGTGTCGTTCGAAATCGAGTCTTTTAAATTAGAAGTGCTGGACGAGTAAATCTTTTTTAGTGCATGAAATAGCAGTGCCCCTCCAAATAATTCTTCTTCAACATTTTTCGAGATGCTCAATCTGATAAGGCAATGCTGGCGTATAGTAGAAAACTCGCGGTAACTTTGATAACTTTGATAAGTAACGTTGATAACATTCGCGCGGTAAACGAATTTAGAATGACTTGAGCATTTCTTTCCAAATATCTCCGTAGCAGGCTTTCAGGCACATTTTTCTACAAAAGTTTGGATTGAAGAACCATATTGGTAATTCTATAAAATATCATGAGAATATCGAAATTTCCCTGTTACTGTGAAATATTCTCCCTCACGATGGTCCTTTCCCGCTTCCTATAAGAAATTTCGAACACTGAGCTTTGTATAGCTTTGGATTGAGAACGCGACTTTGCGTTTCTTTTCATTTTTCTGTAAGAGCCGATTCAAAATTGAGTAATTTCAGAGTTAGGTATACCCATCGGGTCCTACACCCATCACGTTCCACAAGTTTTTAGAGGAAATCTGAAAAAAGTTACAACTTGCAGTTGCTCAATATTACCATTCCAATCTCTCAAGAGCTCCCAGGAGCGTCAAGGAGTGCATTGCGTAAGTCTGTGAAGCTATCAATGGAGTCAATAAACGATCCCGTACTGCAGTCAGTGCTGTGGGAGAATGATGTCGACATGATTACAGTAGGTATTCTCTTCGTAGTGTGGTACTAACTAGCCGTGCGCGGCATACTGTAACGGTGTACTGGACAGCAGCAGTGTAAAGAGCATCGATGAACCGCTACTGATCTCCTTACCATGCGAAATTCCACGACTGCAGTGCGTTCTATTCAGTTACTCAGAACAAATGCTATTCGAAGATTCTTAGTCAGCCACGATCACTACGCCTCCATTCCCAGCATAATTTTCTCCGTTGGGGACTCTCGCAAGGTCTGGACAGCAGCCTCTTCATGAGACTGAACTCGAAGGTAGTTTCAATTTTGGCAAAAAATGATGAGCTACTGACCTACACATAACAGGAACAAAATTTGAACTCGCATGTTTTGCATGAATTTTCCGTATGAAGAATTGGATTTCTGCTGAAAGACTACGGTAGGGTACTGTGAAGTTACATCACATCCTACCGTAATCATTTCAATTGAATTGAGAGTAGATTCAAGCTCATCTTGAGAAAGATATTGCTGCTTTGTGGTGGCTCTTTGTGGTCCAAAAAGAGTAGTCAAACGTGGCAGAGGGGGCAAAATCTTCAGTGTACACTGCGTGGGTATCTCGTCCACCTCGAACGCGCTCGAATAATTTGTTGTAATAAATTCTGCTGGAGTGCTCACATTAAATACATCTGTAGAACTCTTCAGATGAGTGATTTCCCAGTGCCTTGTTCAGTACTTATAATNCATCACGTTCTACAAGTTTTTAGAGGAAATCTGAAAAAAGTTGTAACTTGCAGTTGCTCAATATTACCATTCCAATCTCTCA